CAATTGGCGATTCGGGAGCAGAAACTCGGGCATGACCTGAAGAAGAATGGATTTCTACCTCACTTTATGGACAAAGAATCATGCAAGCTTGTCATGAAAAGAAAGAGGACGAGACTACGAGTGTCTGAGATCAAACGGCGACTGATTCGGAGTCCGGACGAGGGAGAAACGAAGCATTGAATATAGGGGAACAGGTTCGGCAGTAAAATCACGGGCGCGCCTAAATCAAAACACGGCCGTGCCCATATTTAGGCACGACCGTGTTTTGGCCAACGCGCCCGGGCGTGTTTTTAACACGGGGGCAAAACACGGGCGGGAAAAACCAAAGCACGACCGTGCCCTCGACCGTGTTTTGCCCAGAATCGGGTTTTTTAACCCAAATTCGAGCTAAAGGAGAGGGAGAGCTGGGTTTTGGATCCCAAACACCCAAGGGACGAACCAAAGAGAGAGAGGGCGATTTGAGGGCATTCTTGGAGTGGAATTGGAGGATTTCTTCGCATTGGAAGCTCGAGGAACAAGCCCGGACTTGAAGACTGATCATCTTAAGATTCTTACTGCAGTCTCTCTCTCCTCTATGGAGTAACTTCCCTTCACTTAGGTTTTGAGGAACACTAGCCATATTTGTTTGATTGGATGATTGTATGAGTACTCTGACTTGATACTCTTGAGTTCATATTCAATCTATGCATGTTTTCACGATTCAATTCTGCTTTAGTCGAGATTATTGATTCTGCTTTGATCCTATGAGAGCGAATACCTGATTAGGTCAATAGAGCACCATAGATTGATAGTAGTGGATCGATTGCTTTAGTCGAGGATTGATTCACTGCTTTGTATCGATTGAGAACCTCATTCGATAGAGGGAATCTAGTTCAGAACGCCTTGATCGGTTGTTCTAGAGAAGGATACGTCCCTCTAGGCAATTGACTCAAGAGGGCCTTGTTCCTTTAGTCGAGACTCAAGGTCTAGTCAAGGATTCTCCGCATTGTGAATGAAAGTGAAACATGTTAGAGATCATCAATCGTTAATCTGGCTAGTGGCTAGGGGGAATCATACCTAAGTGAGTTCCCAACCTGTAATTAGATTAACTTTAACTGTAGTTTGCTAGAGTAGTTTTAGTTCTTCTATCTTAATCTGGTTTGCTAGATAATGAACTGAAGCTGAGTAATAGTAACTCTAGAGACCCGTGGATTCGATATTTATTACTTGAGCCACTATACTGCAGTCCCTTTCATTGGTTACACTTGGCCATTGTTAGGAGTTGTGTCATAGCGAGTCAACATGTAATTTTTTTTTTGATAATGGTGAAAATTTATTAATAGGGAAACAAAGTAACAGACATACATACAAGACCAGGGCTCAAGAGGACTGAGCAGCCTGAAAAGAGAACAAAAAAACTGAATCGGGAAAGCAAAAGAGAGTGGAAGGCACAGTTAAATGGATCGGACCATTCCTACTGTGAAGAAGATAAGGAAGAAACACATACACCTACTACAACAACACCTTCAACAAGCTGAAGATGAGCTGGTCCAAGCTCCTAAAGTCGAAAGCGAGCTGCAAGACACAAACAGAATCAGAGAAAAAACAGAGGAAAAAAATCAGCTGGTTGTGGAGAGGACTCTTCTCCTCTGATCTTTGAATCATTGGCGTCCCTCTTCTTTGGTGGTTTACCCAAATCAATATGCCATTCAAGCAGATATATCACCCAGCACCATCAGAAGAACGAAACAACACAACTCGCTGCCCGCCATCAAATTCACAGACCTGCAACCGCAAACCCAGTATCACCATTCACATTCCTCCTACAACATCCCTTAACCATCGATACTCCTCATCTTCTTCTGTCTTGCCGTGTGCAACGATCCACTCCACCGCTGAACCTGCAGCTTTCTTGGCCACTACCGAAGGAGGTAGCCACGTTTCCTCAAAAATTCGATGATTCCTCTCAATCCACACTGACCACCAAATGGCATGAAGGAGACAGCATATGAACCAATTAATGGCTCTCTCCTCCTTCTCAACAGGCCACTGGGAGATGATGCTCCTGATATCCCCATCGTGTCTCGGTAGTGCCACGCCCCTGTCCGCCATCTTACTCCATATCTTACTCCATACTTCTTCCACAAACGAGCATTCAACCAATATGTGAGAGGTTGTCTCTTCATTTCTTTGGCATAGGCAACACCTGTTAGCTAGGCTGATTCCTCTACGTTTCAGATTATCGATTGTAAGCACTCTGTTATGGAACACGAGCCAAATGAAGAAACAAATTTTACTAGGAACCACCATCTTCCAGGTTTGATTTGCTGGAAAATCTTGCACCCCTCTGAACTCCTCCTTTGCCAGCCAATTATACATGGATTTCACCGAGAACTTTGAGTTGGCCTCCAATTTCCACATCAACCTGCATGGACTAAATCTGTTCCTGGAAAAATCAAAGGAATGCAGTAAGTTTAATAACTCTCTCCTCTCCCTCTCAGCCCCACCCCTCAGAGTAAAAAGCAGTTTCAAATCCCAACTCACCCCCTCCCCATTAAAGTATACAGTATCGGACACCCTAGCATTTGGGTCAGAAGCAGCAGCAGCAACACGGGGAAAAGAAGCAGCAAGCACCACTCCTGGGATCCAGCAATCGTGCCAGAACGAGATCTGAGTGCCATTACCAGGTTCCAAGCAAGCTATCTTCCAAAACAGGTCATATTCTTTACTTATGTTCGCCCAAACCGAACTAGAAAATCCATTGCGAGCTCTCCTAGTCTGCCAACACGAACTCAAATTCGGATACTTGAGATTTATCAACACCCTCCACCATCTATCCCTTTCCACAGCAAATTTCCACAGCCACTTAGACAACATTGAGTCGTTAAAAGCTTTCAGGTCATGAATGCCTAAACCCCCATCTTTAATCGAAGCCTTGCACAGACTCCAATCAACAAGAGCCATTTTTTGAGTCTCTGCCCTCCCGTTCCAAAGGAAATTCCTCTGGTATTTTTCCAACTCTTTGATCACCGCTACCGGGGCTTTAAATAATGAGAATAGATACGTGGGAGTACTAGACAGGACTGACTTAATAAGAACTAGCCGAGCACCAGTGGATAGATATTTACTGCCCCATCCACAAAGTTTTTTCTGATATTTACACACCATCTCATCCCATATCCTCCTGTCATTGGGTTTAGCCCTAAGAGGGAAACCCAGATACTTGGGAGGATCCTTACACCACTTGCATCCAAAGATAGACGCGAAAAAGCTTGGTTCAGCCACGTCCCCAACCGTGTACATCACTGATTTTTCCAAATTGATCCTCAACCCTGTTACAGTCTGGAAGCAAACTAAAGTAGCCAGCAAGTTTATCACCTGATCATGATTTGCGTCACAGAAGACAAGAGTGTCGTCGGCAAACAATAAGTGAGTAATCTCGCCTTGTTTCCTTTCTTCATTCATGTAAAAACCTTCAAATCTCCCATCTTCCCTCACTTTCACCAGCATCAAAGATAAAATTTCCATGATCATCACAAACAGCCCTGGGGAGAGAGGATCTCCCTGCCGTAAACCTTTAGATATCGAAAAGAAACCATTGGCCTCTCCGTTAACCAGTATAGATATATTCACCGAGCACATCGAACCTTTCACCCATCTATTCCACTCATCCGGAAAACCCATCGATCTAATAATTTTGAAGAGGCAGCCCCAGTTAACGTTATCAAACGCCTTCTCGATATCTAATTTAAACATCAGCCCGGGTTTTCTGCTCTTCCTTCTGCTATCCACCAGTTCATTAGCCAAAAGACCCGCCTCTGCAATTTGTCTTCCTCTTACCGACGAATGTTGCTGATGGGAAATCAGCTTAGGTAGAACCTCACACAACCGACGAGACAAAACCTTGTTAATTATTTTGTTAATACTACCAATCAGATTGATTGGTCTCAGGTCCTTGATCTCCTCAACCACATCCTTCTTAGGCGCCAAACAAACGAAAGAGTGAGTAACGCTCTTAGGAAGGATACCACTCCCATAGAATTCCTGGAAAGCACCAACAATCGCCTCTTTCAACCAACCCCAACATTTCTTGAAAAACTCCAATGTAAATCCGTCAGGGCCAGGCGCTTTGCTGCCACCGCAGTCCTTAATGCTCTCCCAAATTTCATCCTCTGAAAAAGGACGTCTTAACATCCATAAATCAGCCTCGTTCAGCCGCTGAATCCCACTCCACATAGGGAAAGGCCTGTCTTCAATCTCTTCTCTAAACATGTTTTGATAAGCTCGAACTAACCCGGCTGTAATCTCATTTTGGTCTTCCACCATCTGCCCTTCCATTCTAATCCTGTCCACTCGATTCACCCTCCTTCTGTAGTTTGCCATTTTATGAAAATATCCGGAATTATTGTCCCCCACTGTAATCCAAACCTCACGCGATTTTTGTCTCAAGCATATCTCCTGAAGCACCAACGTTCTACTGAGTTCCAACTCCATCTCTAATCTGGCTTCCTTTTCATTGTCCATCAAATCCCTTCCCTGAACCATGTCATCAAACGCCTGAATCTTCTCAAGCAGATTCTCTACCTTCTTGTCCACATTCCCAAAGACTTCTTTATTCCACACTTTGACCTTGTTCTTAATTAAGTGTAGACGCCTAGCAAGCACGAACACAGCTCCCACTCCTCGAACACTCTCCCCCATCCAGTTATCAAGTTCCTGATACATGTAATTGAATTCGTATGACTGTAATTTGTTGCTATTTTAGAATTTAGATTGTTTTAATTTAACTTTAAATTTTCTGATCACTTACTGTAAATTTTCATACCCAAATTTATTTTTTTTACAATTAATACCTAAACTTTTAAAAATATACAAAAGGCCTAGAAATTTTGGTGGTAAATTAATTTTTTAACCTTTATATTCTTTACCTCACACTACAGTCCCTAAACTTTTAAAATTTTACAATATTTTGTCATGAGAAATTTCAAATCGCTAATTGTATTTAAAATTGACAACTAATACACTAGACATAAACATGTATTTGAAAATTATCTCATGAATTCATCAAACAAATGATTTGACTTTTAAAAATCCAAAGTACACACAAAAAAAAATCCAAATCTTTCTATCTACTTTCTTGAAAGTAGTAGGAAAGTGCCATAATAATTGTGGCATACATCATAAACTTCGTAATCTGGTCAATCCGAAGGATTTCTACGACATTTTTTTTTTTTTTTTGCAAACTTCGCAATCTGTAAAATTGGCCGGCGTCGCCAAATCCATTGCAATTACACAAGGAAGTAACTGCCACGTCGGTTTGAAAGTAGGTGACTAACTGGATGGATCTCTTTCAAGAGCAATTGTCAAGTTCAGCAAAGTAGGACTTCTCCGCAACCAAAACACCCTGAAGGAGGAACAGAAAATCACGGACGGGAAGTTGGAAGGAAAAGCACCCAAGTCGTCCATCAAGAAACTATTGTTACAAAAAATGAAGACAGACACAGTTCCTTCTATGATTCTGCTAACTGCTACGTACCTTAATGATCATAATGGCTGCCTCTTTGTGGATCACCTCATTGTACTCGTGACACACTACGCTCTGCAATAATTACCCTTTATAAGCGATTAAGAAAATTGCATCACTTTAAGTAAACAAAAAAAGAAGCATACCTGAACGCAATTAGGACAACCTGTGTACCCATGGCAGCTACAAGAAGTGAGGAGCTCTAATGCTGCATTCAGAAGCTCACTGAAATAAGGTTGTACCTGTTCCAAATTCAACAACCATCCCCATCTCGGCTCAGAGTAACGAAAGATATCATCTTTCTCCACTAGGTCTCAAAGACAGTTGAACAGTCTTTTGAAAGTTAGAGTAAGATTAAACAACAACGAAATTTTCATTTCGAATGGCGTAATCACCTGCTTTGAGACACCAGTGCCACCGGGATGCTGTTCATATACTAGAATTCTTTCAGGGAAATAGCGATTATCATGCAGGTTTGGGCACTCTGGAGCCAAGTCAGAGTAATTGCACCGTACATATCTGCCCATTTGTAACCCCATCGTGATCACATGATGATGCAATGAAAAGCATTATCCATGGCAGTAGCAGGAAAACACTTACAAAGGCACTACATTAAGAAGAGCATGAGAAGCAGCATGCAATCCCCCTTGGAACGAGAAACCCATGTCCTCCACCGATTTTTTAAGTGATTGAGGAACTCCGATCCACGCAGCCTGCATCATTAAGTATTTTATATTAAGCAGGCATCTCTGGCTATAAAAGTGTCACATCAGCCAATGGTGAAGAAATAAGATTCCATCATCAACAAGCAGATGGACACCTGTGACTCGTAGGAGTAACTGGGCAGTGAAAGGTCAATTGTATCCAAGACTCTGTTGCTTCCTCTTGCCATACGACGGAATCCAAACCAAGTGGTTGTTACTGTGCAAGAACGTGCTTGAGCCGTCGTTCTTTTATTCTGGTTGCAGGACATGACTGGATAGGCCTGCAAACATGTAACACAAAGGCTTTTGGTACCAAACATCGCAAATTCCCACTAACACACTTAATGTTCCCTATCGTCTTATAGCATTCACAACCGACTTTCCAGTAAACTTACAGGTCATTTGGATTAGAAAATTTGGGTAGGGATTTGCCACAATCCCTGCCCTTCCCAGATTTCAGCACATTTACGCATTTGGGAAGGCTCGAAAAACTTAAGGATTTTGGCCATTAGAAAGTTTTAAAACCTGTCATGCAAGGATTTCAAAAGAGTTGATGCCTCCCAGCTATCTCAAATCTCTCGGTTAATTTTTTTTTTTTCCTTTCAAAAGAAAAGTTTGAAATGCATTGGTTCAGCGTAAGTATATGGTTCAAAATTTTCATCAAGCAAGTTCCGATATACAACTAAATAGTAGCTTCAATAAATCTTGAACTAACCCCTTCAAGAAAAAAAAAAAATCTTGAACTAACATAAACATGTGGCCTGTGGGTTAGGTTGCATGGAACAACTGTAGTTCCTGTAAACATTTCCAGAAAGTCATCTTTAAGATCCAAAAGCACATTATGTCATGAACAATAGCATTGGATCTTTAGCCTAAGTCAATAGCAAAATGTAAAATCATGCAAGCACTAATGCCTTGACAAAAAAAAAAAAAAATCAGTAAAATCCGCAAAATAACTAAAAGGTTCATTTGGAGAATTGTAGTTTCAATCTCAGGATTCTAAAGAATTCTAACTCCAAGAATTGTTTAAAAAAAGGAGATTCTAACTTTCTATATAAAAAGAGAATGAAACAAACGCAAATAAAACTACGTTTTCACAATATATCAATATATCTAACATCTCAGTCAGCTGTTTGCACACTTGAAAGATTGCAGATTACTACTTTATCAGCCTCATAAATAAGAACTAGTGATGCACTAACGGAACGACAGTCTATTATTAACCTTCTAACAAGACTCGAGTTCTATACGCGAACTTACAGTATCACCTCCCATAACATGGACATCCGTGTAATCTCGAGTTTTGGTATAATAGTTCACATGAGCTTGCTGGCACCAAGCAATCTTTTCCGATATATTGAGCTCTTTAACTAGATAAGACTTCCCCTGGTGCAGATAGACTGCACCTTCATACACCTGGGAAACAGAGAAAACCCAATTTAGCCACCATGGAGAGAGACAAAGAAAGACATGTGTACTCGACAACTCCTTACCTGAAAGAAAGCCTTGCTTTCCTCTATCTCCTCGAGAAGGTCATTCTGTCTAGTATCTATCACTTTATACCTGACAGTTTCTATAGCTCGAATACTTATTCCACGTGAAGGCATTTTCTGACCAATTAGAACCAGAGAAGAATCATTACAAACCAAAAGAATTGTCTAACCAGAACCTAAATGAGAAAAAATTGTTGTTCTTAAGTTTTACCTCTTTCCCGATATAGCTCCATATTCTGGCAGAATCATCATGGGTCAAATTGCAAGTTATGGATCCTTTATTTTTAAGCGACACCAAGGCCGTACTTAGCGCAAGTCCAAAATGGTTCTCATCATACTTCAAACTCAATGGATGTTCAAAAGCAGCACATGCGAGATGCTGTTCAACTACCTAAATAGAGAATACTATAAAGTTAAGTTAGTTGTTTTAACAAATGTGGAGTTCGCTTAGTTGCTGGAACTGAATACGGATATGAACAGTGTCAAAAACTGGTAACCTGCAGGTTCTGAGCGTCAATATGACAGCACTCAATTGGACTACCAAAGAGCTTTCTAGGATATTTCATGAAATATTGATCTAGAGGGCCTTCGAAAGCAACATACACAGCAAGAGAAGCCTTTTCTCTTCTGCCTGACCTGCCTGCTTGCTGCCACAGGCTGAGACAGAAATGTTTTGGCAAATCAACAAAAAATTCAAGTTGTTAAAAATCTACTAATAGAGAATACAGTTCCGCTTTACCTAGCAATGCTACCAGGAAAGCCTAGGTGTAGTGTGGCATCTATATGTCCAACATCAATACCCAACTCTAGAGCATTTGTTGCAGCAATGCCACAAAGCTCACCACTGAAGAAATCTCTTTCAATTTTCCTCCGTTCCTGCATCATCAAGCAACTGATTCTCAAAAGAACCAATACTCCTATGCCCATAAGCAGTAGATATGCCAAAAACAGAACAAAAAACCTAACATCGTGACAGAGATTATATGTAATCTTCAGCACATTCAACAAGTTAAGGAGAATTCAGCTTTACTAAAATGTCACACGCCAAACCTACCTGCTAATGACATTAAAGGTTTTCAAGCCAGTTTTCACATTCTACTGTTTCAAAGACAAACAAAAAAGGGACATGAAGGGTAAGGGGTTGGACACTTTGAGATACAAAGGAGGAAAGGAAAACGGAAGAAATTGTGCCTTAGTCAATAGTAAAATTTAAATAAAAAAACTTTTGCTCAATTCACTCTATAGCATCATTTTGGGTAGGTCAAATCGAAAAACACGTATTTGTTCAGAAACGACAGATGCATCCTATACGTATATTTAACCTTCTTACATTGTTCTTATTAGGGACGCTATCTCCAAAACATTTACTTCTTCAAGATGAATTAAACTCAAGTTCAAAAGGACCTGTTCCGGTTGAGCCTGACCTTGTGAACCAAGTATTAGGGGCAGTAACAACTACAAAAATCAATATTTCTATTGCCATTATAATTGAATATGAAGGAAATGGAACGTTACAGACCTCAGGTATATAGCCAGCTCGGTATGCAGATATTTTATCTATGAGGTTGGGAGCTGTCTCTTGGAGAATCTCACGTCTGTTATAATACAAAGAAAGCACCACATGACTTCCATTCATAATCCAGTCTAGGTATGGTACACGTGTTTATATTTTCCGGTGTCCAGAAAAAGAAAGATTATGTGCTAAAGAGAAAAGTTAGGGTCATTGATGCCAATAGAACATACGTATAGGAGAGAACAAGTTCAGTGAGCTTGCGTGATTTGCAAAAAGCAATACACCGAAGTCCATGTTGAACCATCTCAGCAAAAAGGCATGCAACTGTGAAGATTGGACTGGGGAAAAAAGGAAAGAGCATCAGGCAATACCAAAATGTTATACATACATCATTCCAAAGTACAACTTATTTAAAATGAGTTTGAAGTTCATCTAGGAGGCACCACTTTCCCAAATTACACTACTACTGCGTTAAAAGAACAAAGTAAATATCACACTGAAACCATTCGCAATTAAAAGAATGGATTACCTTATGCTTTTGTCTGCAGAGCCATTGATATCTCTACCAGTTTCATTTTGCACCTGTAACCTCGTAGAGTCAGCAATGTTTTGACTACTCATTCTATTTTGCATTTACATGGAGAGAAGAGCACCTACAGATTTAAGGGAAGAAGGATTCCAAAGGATAAATTGCTTTTCAGAGGAGGGGCTCCTATCATTTTCTATAAGCTCCAATGTTGAGAGATTTGCAAGCTCCTATACATCAGAAAAGAACATCAATCCATCAAACAAAATGTATAACCTAGCAGATACGCGCACCATTCTGAAGCACTAACTTAAAATCAGATAAAGGGGATTTAGCAGCTCATCCAGACTTTCAGCACCTTGCAGAAGAGCAACATCCGCCTCACTACAATATAGGCTGCCTCATGCTGAAAGATATTCGTTTTTGACAAGAGAACAAGGTAGTGGAAAAATCTAACCGACTGTTATATGGCTGATGGATTAAACTATGAAAAGATAACCGTCCACCACTAGTTGTGCAAGATGGCAGGCATGCAAATCAATCCAACTTATATATGGTCAAAGAACATGAAAGATAAAAGCATCTTTGTATAACTCTACTGTACAATGCCCTATACCAGTCACACCCGTAAATTGAAGCACTTGAGCAAGAAGAGAAATGGAAACTCAATTCAACAGGTCGGTCAGCTAATGGTTCCCAGTCACAGTTATAGAATGATAAACCACTATTCCATAAGAGTAAGCTAATCACATTCATCTGCATTTGTTCTCCATGGAGCATTCACCAACGTTCCTCTCTGGATCTATAGCACCTTCCTAAAACTGATTAAAAAAAAGATGGGTGGTGACGACCATCCAAGGGTGAGAAGCCAAGTCATTATCAAACTTTCTCATCAGGATGAAAAGAAGATAAACCAGCCATGGTAGCTACTTGCACCAGCATCAAATTAGCACAACAGAATGTTGGTCAACATAATCCAGCATTATGCCATCTATCATCTTACCATGCAATGCTCCCTAGGATTGGCAGACGTTGCTGTGGAAAATACAAACGAAGGATCCGTGCCATATACTGGACATAAAAGAAAAGTACGTCAGTAAATGGTTAACTGACATGTGAACTGGATAGAGATATAATGAACTGCACACTAGAGGGAAATTGAACCATGAGAACAAAGGCGCCGGAGTCTTCTAAGTATGAGAGCAGTATGGCATCCAAGTGCTCCCTTATACATATGAGCTTCATCAATGACCACAAACCTAATACATGGGGAAGATCAATCTTTTTCCAAGGAACCAATCTCTATTCCCTGAGAATATCATTCCGGAGTACTGCTTATTTTAGCTATTTAGACAATGATTCCAACATTACCTAAGATTTGTTAGAATCCTACTAAATTGCCCATGATATGGTAAAATTGACAAGTGTAACATGTCTGGATTTGTAATCAACTGCACACAGAGGTGGACAAAATTTTAGAAATAAGATCCCATTCAGAAGTTGTATTGTATGAGACAGAAAATATTGGCCGACAAAAGTACCAGTCTAGCATCAGAGCGATGCAACATTCTTTCCTCGTGGCAAGTGTCGCCATCATAAACACCAATATTTATGTCTGTGTCATATGCTTTCTTCATAGCTAGCAATGCTCTCAATTGATCTTGAGCTAATGCCTACATCCATGACATCAAGAATTACCATCCGGTGAGCAGCATTTCACAATTCAAAAGAAATGGCAGCATAATAATAGCAATACTTGGAATAATTGAAAGCATAGAGAGACGTTCACCAAACCTTAGTCGGAAACAAGTATAAAGCACATGCCTGCAAATTCTGGGACAATGCTTCCAAAACAGGCACATTGTAGCAAAGAGATTTTCCGCTGGATGTCATTGTTGCCACCACAACATTTCTCCCCTTCAGGGAGGCCATGATGGATTCGGCCTGCTAAAATTAAGAATTATAGCCATCTTAAAAATATTGTTGCCAAAGAATGTGGTAAATGAAAGCAACCGTACCTGATGGGTATACAATTTGTTGATTCCCATACATTCTAGCGCAGATTTTGTATTTGTTGAGAGTTCATCAGGAATATCTGCATACTGAGCTTTTCTTGCTCTAATTTCTTCAACGTGCACCATCTTCACCATAAAGACTTGTAGAGTTAGCAACAGCACATAAACTTTCCTTTTTTGTTTTGTGATATGTGTATCAGTGGATAAAAGTTAAAAACTACCAAACAGGACATTTTACTCCCCTCGCAGCAGCTGGAAAGAAGGAGAAAAAAACTAAGAGAAGCTAGGAGCAGAGTAAAGAAGGAGGAAAAAAAACTAAGAGAAGCTAGGAGCAGAGTAAGTGTCTTTAGATAGTAATTGAAGAAAAAGAAGAAGAGAAACATTTTGAAGGAAATGAGCAGGCAAGTGGCGAACAGAGAAAATCTTCACCCTAGATGAATTTTCTCTGCAGGAGTTTTCCTACCTGCCCATTGGAACCCATCCCTTTTAGTAGATGTTGGACCATTTCGATCGGCAACAACTGATCCCTCTCCTGTAAATCAAGAAGTAGAATTCAACGAGAGACTCTGGGTTTGAAGATGACAAGAAACAAGATTTAATGTAAAATCATGTCAATCCCAATCCCTAAAAAGAGGAATTAACATTAAAAATTCAATCTATGTTACCTGAAAGAATAATGCATTATGTTTTTCAAGGACTAAAAATAAAAACCACTAAGTTGAGCTCCTCCAGAAAGTCATACAAAAGCCCTTCACTTCTCTACCCCAATTCAGTTTCCAGTGAATATTAGCCTGTAGACTTCTCTGTTCTTTGAACAACTTTAAAATCTCTACATTCTGATGCCCGTTTAAAGAAGATGCACTGGAAAATAATGCATATTAAAACTATTGGTACAAAGAGGAGATTTTTCCGCGGTTCTTTTTCCCCCCTTCTGTAGCATTTTTATTTCATTAAGAAAGTAATAAAGCCAGTAATTAATTTTATTGATATTTGCTAAAACAGAGTTCAGTTTAATGAAGGCATACAGAGCATCGTGCTTGACTTGAGCGAGAACTTGAAGATGACGTAAAGCATTTCTTTGAAGATTCCGGAAGATTGCCACTCCATGTAATCCCGGCTTTCTTCACAAATGTTAGTAAATCATCCAAGGAAAACAAAACCTGGAGTGCATTACCACTTTTTCCCTGGATGATCCACCAAAAGGAGACGTGAGTACAAGCTTTTAACGCCAAAGTCAAAATTTATTGTGTCACACAAAAGGAAAAGAAGTTGAAATTACATCTTATAACATAAAATGGTTGATCTTTTAATTTCTTCACAATCATGAAGCCAATGTACTGATTCTTATAAAATGGATCGCCTTCGTGACAAATGCTGGCGTGATCCAAAATCATAACAATAGGTCAGAATAGCCAAATTCCACAAGTAAAAGAGAAAGTATGCATTGAAAGCAAAATGTGCATTGTACAAAAATCTCTACATCAGAAGCTATGTCAAGAAGTCATTAGCAGTGTGCTTTGATGAGGCATATAGAACACTGTTCTAAAATTACTTAAAGTCATAGTTCACCTCCTGCCAAATGAGATACATCCATACATAATCAAACGGACAATTAGCGAACCACATCCTAATATAGACTGGGATACATATATTACACCTATGCATTGGTTAAGGATTCAGAAGAAGCAACGACTGTTGATGACTTTTCTCATTTGAATACAGATGAAACTTTTTAGCAATTCTGCCAATTACTATCAATATAAGGTGAATCTGTAGTTAAAGAAAAAGTAGATCCACATGCAAATTTAAGTGCATGAAGAAAACAGTAACTGCTGCTGAATAGAATGAAACAAGAGCCAGACATGATGTTTCCAGAAATCGACTTGATAGTGATAAAAAGCATACGAACAAGATTATTTCAGAATACACTTACCATCAATTTTCTAACTGCTTCACAAACATACGTTTTGAACAAAATGTCCCGTTTTCTAACTGCACTAAACATCCTTGACAAAGATACGCCTTTTCGACCTGCAAACAAACAAAATAAATTGATCTTCTGGAAGACCAAAACATTAAGAGACATGAAAAACTGCAGAAGTCACCAACACATATTGCTTATAAGGTACTTTCCAAATCCAATCCCATTCCTCTGTTCGCTTTCATCATCAATGACAACAATGGCCCCAGGAGAATTTTCCAGCTTGGTGCTATCTGTGAAGATTAGTATCTGCCCTACAAAAAGGAAGGGTTACTTGATAAACACAATTAGATATGACAAATATTCAGACAACGTATCTCTAGGTGTATTCTTTTACATCCAGCTTTACTCCTAACCCCACGAGGTTCCGAGACGGAGCTTAACCTAAGTCTCGGTTAAGAACAGCGATGATTAAAACGGAAGTTAAAGAAAAAAACCTTTGAGTCTCTTTACTAAAGGCTTATCTTTCTCAAAAATGAAGGGTTACTTGAAAAACACATTTAGAGATGACAAAATCCACACAGAGCCAGCACCTTATGGTAACAATGAAAACCATAAGCCAACTGAGGGTCGCTTATCAGAAATGAAGGAAGATAACACACTACCGGTGCATATCCATATTTCATCACCCAGTAAACACCAATTTTGCTACGATAAAAATGTTCCTACACAGGGCAGTCTGACTTTGCCAACAAATTGACTTAATGGTAACTAGCAGCAAATAGTAAGAAGTCAACCAAAATTACCTTAGGACAAAGGACAGAAAGACGCTTTACATCCTCAAAACAAACCCCGCACCCATACATTTTGAGCTGCATCAATGCCTCCTTCAAACAACCAGAAGTAATTTCTTCTTTTTGCAGATGAAGAAAGGAAGAAAGGATATTAATGAAAGCAAACGCCTCCATAATTCTTCTAAGCCATGCTGGACATAAACACTGAACTGGCTTGTCTCTGTACTCTCTGTCACCATTAGCTGAAGCAGCCAACAACATGCACATCCCGGAATGTGGAACGGACAAACAACTGATTGATTCCAAAACCTTCACAAACTTCTCACAGTGCACCCCCTCAGTGATTTTCTTGTTTGGAGACCTCAACACAATCGATAGAAAATCATACACTACCCCATCCTCTACAAGGTTCCCGCCATACACGTCCAGATTCCTTTTCCGTTTGTGTCTGGGGAAACTACTATCAGTAGCCTCACAACCATGCTTGCCGCGGGCATTGCTTGGTTCATCAATCATCGATGACAAATCTTGCATCATATCTGAATATGCAGCATCTGCAAACCGTGAGATGGAGCTTTGTTTGGGCATCATATCCCCAAGGGGACCAGGTTTTGAAGCCGGTTTCCTCTCCTTCTTTGCAAATGGAATTAGTACAACAAATTCACCAGCCTGAATCTCAAGTGTAGATAATGGACTACTCAAGTTTAATCTAACTCCCTGATGCAGAAACAAAGGCAACAAAATGAACATTTAAGGAAGGAGAAACTAGCAAGACTAAGAAAAATGGCTAGACAGAGCAGTGAGAGTTATCCGTTCTTCACTAGACAAAGAAAAAAATGGTTACCTTGAAGAAGAGATTGAAATTTGGGGAAGTAGAAGCCGGAGAGAAGTCGAGAACCAGGAAGTACTTCAAGTCTTCGACGGTCTTATTTCTCGATATGCTAACAATGGTGGATTCACCCATTAGCGTGCGAATTTCGATTTCGACCGGCTCTTCTCCTGCCATTGCTCAACTCCTAATCTTCAGAATCACTCTCCCGTCTCACTCTCCACACCGCACTCCCGAAACCAAACCAGAGAAATTTGCATGTCTTTTCTTAATGGAAGAAACAAAGAATTGGAAAAGAAACATAGGCTAAATTATGGTCACTCAAATTACATAAATCTTTCATGTTTGTCATTCGTATTATTTTTCTTTCATCTTTGCCACTAACTTTACGATTCTTTTCACGGTTAGCCACCGACCATTAGTCTCCGTCAGATTTCGTTAACTACTTTAATTTTTTGATAACGTGACAAATGGGACTACTGACTGGACTGTTAACTTAATGACATGTCAATTTTAAAAAAAAAATTAATTAACACCCACCCCTAGACCATCTCCATCCCTGCAATAGGTTAGCCATTTCATAAATGGACCCCACATCCACATCACCAACTTTAGCAACTATTCAATTCAACCATTTCAAACCACCTACATCTCTGCAATATGTAGCAATTGCAATTGATGGGACCTACTACACATTGTTTTCCTTAACAATACATTTTATGTGTACAAAGTGGATAGAAAAGAAAGAAAGAAAAAGAAAGAATTTGAGTACATGAATGTGTGGGTCCCAATTGCTTATATGGCATTGCAAAGGGGATTGCTTATTTAGCAATCTTGCTAAATAAGAAAGAAGTGCTACATCCTTGCAATTGCTTAAAGCTATTGCTACATAGGATTCCACCCAATAAGCAATAACAATAAGCAATTGGATGGAGATGGTCTAATACTCTTGCCAAACACCTCGCTTCCGCCGCATCCGTCGATCCAGTCTCCGTCCCCATCGTTGGCTCAATCACCACCAAATCCACAACTACAAAGTAGCCGGCCGTCTCTGCTCGTGATTCTGCACTGCTCTCATGTTCTGACCCTCGCTCATCGGTTACAATGAGCTAGCCATGGATTACCTCTGCAAGCACATCGTCTCGGTCGCTTCACCATGTATTACCTCTGCAAGCTCTCCTTTGGGAGTAAGGTCGAGACTCTCACTCTCGGCAAATGCATCACCTTCACCTTGAGCTCCGTAAATAATTCCACCAGTGATTCCCCCTCCGCTGCCAAGATCTTCATTGGGAGTGCGGATTTGGTGACTAAGGGGGGTGCTTAGTCACTTGACTAAGCCCCTCCTAGCCATTAGATCTGGACACTTCAATCCAATGGTTAAAAAGTGGGAAGGACTATTTAATTAATGGCAGGGGTAGTTTGGGTATTATGGAAAATTATGAAGTATACAAACCGGATTTACAATTAGTACAAACCATACAAACATACGAACAGTACAAACTAGAGCGACAAAACATACAAACAGATTTACAAACATTACAAACGTATGAACTGTACAAACAATACAAACTAGACTGACAAACAATACAAACCATACAAAAAGAAAAAACAACCGGGTTGACTTTGGAGGCTCCATCCCTATATAGAGGGGCTCCTTCCCAAAGTCAACCCGGGTGTTTTTTAGACATACAAACAGTACGAACATGGTGGACAAAAATGACAAACTAGACCGACAATCCATACGAACCGAAAAAAACACCCGGGTTGACTTTGGAGGCTTCATCCCTATATAGAGGGGCTCCTTCCCAAAGTCAACCCGGGTGTTTTTTAGACATAAAAAACATTACGAACATGGTGCACAAAAATGACAAAGTTTACAAACATGGTTAACAAAAATAACAAAGTTTACAAACATTACAAAAAAAAACCGACAAACATTACAAAATAACAAAGCATACAAACATTACAAAATATGTCAACAAACATCACAAAATTAACACTGTCGCCGGGAAATTCTTCTTCGGCGACGATGTTCGCCGGAAAATTTTTCCGATCAGAAAATTTCCCGACCAATCTCTCTCTCTCTCTCTCTCTCTGGATAATTGCCCCTGGGGAAAATTCCCTTTCCCACAAAAGACACCCACTGCCCTCGCTCTCTCTCTCTCCCCGCGCATGCTTTTTCCCTTCCCACTACAATTGACCAGCCACCGGCGGAAGGCAGTAGCCGGACCGGAAATCGAAGTCGGCAGGCAGTAGCGGAAGACAGCAGGCCACTTTTTTTTTAATTAATAAATAAATAATGTAATTACTATTTTGTCCTTCATTAGATTGGATTAATGTGTGCCATTGAATTTTAATGAACTTCAATGGATGAGATTGGCTTAGTCATGTGACTAACCCTGTGTTCAGGAAGAGAGGAAAAGGGAGGAAAGGAAAAAAGGGAACGGAAAGTTGGAATTACGAAGCACTTTCCCCCGTTTCCGAAAAAAGCAACAGTGCGGGAGAGCGGAAAATGGAAGGAAAAGTGAACTGTTCAACCAATCCCTCCAAATTGGAGAGAAAAGGCAGAGTGGGCTCTATTTTCCTTTTTTTTTTAATTTTCATAATCTCTCTCCTCTCCCCTCTTTCTTTACTTTCTCCTTCTTTCTTCTTTCCACAAAAACCAGAAGATTTATCACCTGCAAAAGAAAGAAGATAATCCGTTTCCAATTTGAAAAAAAATGAAGAAAAATGAACCCAAAAAATGCATCATCCAGTTAAGTATGCAGTGATAACACATTCGATCGTCGCCGAGAAAGTCCAGCCGCCTCTGTTTTTCTACTTTCCTCCATACAATCAGGACTAAAAAACACAAAACCTCAAATAAAACAAAGAAAAACATAGGATACAAAATCAAAGAGACATGCATGCCTCGATTTTGCCTGGATAAAAGCTCTTCCTGGCGGATTAGGCTAGCTCTTTTTTTTTTCTCAATTGATAGAGCTTCCAGAAGAGAGAAATGGCGGATTAGCAAAGGAGAAAGAATAAGAAAGTGGGTGGGGAATAGATTCTTTCTCAGTTAGCATCAGATATGGGGATGGGAAGAGTCTAGAGAGTGAGTTTGTCAATTTTTTCAGGTAGAGTGAGATGGGTTGGGTAGACGAAAAATTGGGGATGGGGAATAGACATTTTATTTTTATCGTTAAGATTTTGGTTTGTGGTTATAGTCCAATTTTTTTTTATTAAAATAAGGGAGTGGATAGTATACAAAACCAGTGGGGTTTGTTACGGAACCCAAGTCTTAAACCGATATGCACTTTTAAACGGTATAAAATAATTGATGTGGTTAAATCATGATTTTAGAATAAAATATCATACCACTAATTTTTTCGGTACAATCTTTGGTACGATTTAGAAAGAAAGTACAAATTTAATTCATAACTTATGAGTAGAATATTAACATACAATTATATTATTTTATTATTAAAATAACATATTCATCACACTCTCTTTCGAAGCTAACAACAGTAAGGAGGGAAAGAAAATAGGAAATAAAATCTTGTACATGAGAGGTAATCCAATTTTTATGAAAAAAATTTAAATCAAGTTAAAATAAACGAGATTTTTAAATCAAGATTTTTTTAATAATGAACCAAGTTAGTAAGAAAGAATACATTTGTTCCACTACCCATACACATTTTAATCATTTTACTATTACATAACCAATTAAATAATATATCTATCACAATTCCCAATACATACTTTCCTTTCCATTTTCCTTCACTTCCAAATCTCCCCTCCCCTCCCCATTTTCCTTCACCTCCCCTCCTTTTCCTCCCTTCCTTCGGAAACAGAGGGTAAGGGACCCCCTTAGTCACCTGATCTTGGCCCCTTCATTGGTCTCTTCTCAATCTCGTCAACAACCTTCCACTACCACACATAAATCCCTATCCATCTACCTCCATAATTTGATATATCTCATGTCTTTCCCAATTCCTCAATCTCCCGAGCCCTCTCGATTCTACAATTTTCTACCCCTCTCGATGTCGATCAAACCAAATCCAAAATCCCATCAATTCTTCTTCAATCTCCTCCTTCACCCAACTTGCTAATCGAAACAAATTAGAAAATCAATGGATTTCTTTTTCAATCTCCTTCTCATTCCAGCCTGTTAATCGAACCAAATAAAAAACCCACCAATTGTGAATTTGCTACTCTGCCTCTCATTTTCCTTCAAGCTTGATATTGTGAATTTGTTGATGCAATTAGGCCTCGTCTTCCTTCTCGCAATTCGCCACTAATTGACTACGGTATCGCGAGCAGAGAAGGTCGTCTACTACTACAGTTGCTGCGGTTTGGAATCAATGTCGAGTTTCATACAACCTCAACCAGATTGGGGCCTATCTTTTCAATGCTTCCCACGGGGAGGACAATTTTTCCTGGTCGGGTTATGACGACTTGAACCGAAATGCGAATGGTTACAATCACGATCACGACTGCAGTGTTAATTGGAAGTTGTCAAGGAAGAAGAACCAGAGAAATCAATGTCGGAGAACAAAAAAGCGATGCCGGTGGTGGTGGTGGAGGAGGAGGAGCAGTTGCCGGAGGAGCTGATGGTACGAGAACTACATGAAGTTCTATTAGATTATGTATCTCAATGGGCAACCGGCGACTTAGCTTAGTGCAGCTGAGGAGAGCGTAATCGGAGATCTCTGAAACTTTAACGACGACGAGGACGTCACTATTTTCGCGGTTGCGGTTTAATCTTTCATGGTAGCAGCTGCTACCTGCTAGTTTGGAATTTGGTTTGTGGAGAGGATTCCTTGAGAAGGCGAAGAAGACGAGGGAGGGGAAGATTGGGCCTGATTTTTGTCTAATTTTTGTGTTTTTTTTTAAATTGACATGTCATTATTTAATGGTCCAATAAGCTATTTTGTTTGCCACGTCATCAAAAAACTGATAGAATTAATGGAGTCTGACGGAAACTGACGGTCAGTGACTAACCGTGAAACGAATCGTAAAGTTAGTGGCGAAGATGAAATAAAAGTAATTCGGGTGCCATACGTGAAATATTTATGTAATTTGAGTGATCAAATGTGTAATTTAGCCAAGAAACAAACGTCAGATGTGAAACCTATTTCTCATTTCCCTGTTTTAGTTTATTTATTTATGCCTAATACCAAAAAATGGCCGGTAGTTTAGGGTTTATGTCACTTGTACTCTAAAGTTTGTCTTGCGGCAGTTATGTCCCGAAGTTTAGTTTCCGTTAACTTTGACAGTTAGTAGTCAACAGTCAAAATTTTGACCAATGATGTGACATATGATGTGGATTT